TTGGTTGATACGATAGATATTTTTATTTGGGGATTTTCGATTTTTGTCGAGTCACTATATAAGACAGTTTAGCAGATTAAAACTAATTAATTTCTCCCTGCCTCATTTTCCCTGACACAAATACAAATATTTAGTAGAATGCTACATAGTGCAATGACAAAAACAGATGCATCGGTGGTGTAGTGGTAAGCGTGTTTACCTCTCACCCCAAAAGGTCTGGGCTCAATCCCAGTCGGCGCCACCGGAATTCTCTGAGAAATAAAATATCTGATCACGTCTTTCTTCGGAAGGAAAGTAAAGCCGTTGGTCCCAGGTGCTTGAGTTGATGGGTCGATAGGTAGGTTCCAGTTGTGGGAGCTGTCTTCCTGGCGTCTGGGTTACCGAAAATGCCCGGTTTACATTGGTACTGATGTGCTGGTGTCAGAGTACAAAACTGTACTAAAAAATTGTCAGCACAATGTAAGCAGGATTTAGCAGCTATCAACATGAGTTTACAGCAGTGCTGAACCAGCACGTATGTAAACCGGGCATACACACTTAGTTTTTTTTCTTCTACCGAGCTCGGCTGTGCGAATCTCGGCAAAAATAAGTTTTACTGAGATCTCAGCAAAAGTGACATTTAATTGCTGAGTTTCGGATAATGCTTAGCTAAATCTCTGGAAACAAATTAAATGTTTGCTGAGATCTCAGTAAAAAAAAATTTGCCGAGATTTGCACAGCCGACCTCGGTAGAAAAAACTAAGTGTGTAAGATGCCTCGAAGACCGCTGGTGTAGTGTTATGCGTGTGTCTGGGTTGAATCCCATCCAAGGTTGTTGGGATTTGTCTGAGGCGAAAAATTATCTGGCCACGTCTTTCTTCTGGCCAGAAGTGGCCCGTTGTCCAAATACCATCATTTTCGTGACCGTACAACACCGCTGGCCCGTATTGTCGTCATTATTGTTTTCGCCGTGAACCAACTCGACACCGCCTAACGCGTGTACAACAGTGTACAGGTTTGTTATATAATAATCTTTAATAATTTAAATCTTTTAATTCAAGCTGTAGCTCTGAAACGTATATGTACATAGAAAATAAATTATAAATTTATAAATTTATAAAATATAATCATAAATTCTTCAACCCGTAATTGTGATTCATCATTCTAAAATTGGTTTAAGGTAAATCCATGTAAACTCCACAAATGACCGTGGTAATGGTGCCTTAGGCTATTACTTCAAATTACCCAGTGTACAAATTTCGGATACTTCTAGCCTATCCCACTTTTTTAATATTTAAAATGCTGAAACTTTACTAAAAGAAAAATATAGTTGCACGGATATTACGCAGTCACCCTGATTAACATTTTCTAGACCACGACAGCTGTCATAATCAGGAAACGCCGCTTCTCACTCCCAACGCGGAAAATATGTTATCTTGGTATCGATTGTTGTTTATGCCATGAAAACATACGCATGCGCAGTAATAGTATTTTCATGCATTGATAGCTTCTCTCGAGTTGTAATATTATCAATGAAAGTATCACTGATGAACTCTGTTATCATTTCTATAAAGCTATAAGGTGAATTTCTGAATCATGAAATAAAGAAAATGAACTTTCGAATCATGAGACAAAGTGACGCGCAAAAGTTTGAACACATTGTTTATAAGATAGTTATTACTTTTTTACTCTTCTGTTGTATTTTTATGATTAGATGGCAGTAGTGTTTAAGCAATGATGTTTTACAGTGAAAAATATTCAATGCGTTATGTCTGTTTGTCTGTGTTGTTAGTATTTATAGGTCTATTCCCGTACTTGCTTTTCTGTAAGTTTAAGTACAGCAAAAAGCAAATGTAAGTTCCCGTATTTTCTTATAGCAGCTTACAGAAAGCTGCAGCAACTTACAGGAAAAGCAAAAAATCCAGTACGGGAATAGACATTATGTTCACCATAGCTATGAATATAGCACAGACAAGCAGATAATATTATAGAAAACACTTAAACGCAAAAAAAAATTAAGCTCCTTAAGAAAAACAATGTGTTTATTTCAACATCAAACCAGGCACATACTTTCTGAAACACCCGGCTTCAAAAGTATCAAGCTATCGAAACAATCTACGAAAGTTTACTGCTAATTCTCGCTTCTAATTTAGTTCTAGATCCATCTACTTTCATCATGCTCCATCATTTTGCAGAAAATCTTCAAAATCTTCATAAATCTTCTTTCTATCTACGCGCGCATCTCTCGACTGAAAATCAAAACCTTCTCTGCATCTTAGTTCGTCTCCCTTGGACTTGGTCCATGGTAATATTGCTACCATTCGCAGCCAGTTTTTTGTTCGGATCTGAATTTTCTGCAATGCTTCACTGCTTTTCTGCAATGCTACAATGCAAAGATTAAAACACTAGCTGAAAGCGTTCAGGCGCTGATTTCCAATTTACTTTAAATTTATAAATTTAATAGGGGTTTAGAACCATTAGAAAAAATGCGTGCACTTCATTACAATTCAATAGACTCTAGTATTGTTGAGACAGTGAATGAAGCTATGTATAAGTGCATCGTAGTCGGCTAAACGTATACACCCTCGTGAATTTCCATTGTATTTAACTGGACTCTAGTATTTTTACAATAGTGTATTAGCTTACTATGCACATAGTAAATAGTGTTTTAATTGCTTTTCAATGATTGCATAATTGACAGTTACCACTTAGTTGGTAATTACAGCTACCAACTTGATACATTTTGTGTCATATTGTTTAAACTCAATGGATAAAGGAAATTATGTAGAAACGCTATGCACTAATTTTAGTAAAGCATTTTACAGAGATGATATACCTCTCTTGCTCTTTAAGATATCCAAATTAGGTTTCAATCCTAGTCTACTGAAATGGATCGAGTCATACTTATCACAGAGGACGCAATAGTTAAGATTTACAGGCAATTTTTCTACCATAGTTAATGTAACATCTGGTGTGCCACAAGGTTCACATCTTTGTTCATTATTGTTTATTTTATTTGTCAACGATTTAGAACACATTTTGTAATATCTTCATTTTTCTCTATATGCTGATGATATGAAACTGATAGCTAAAGCACCTAATCTTCGAATATTTCAACATGAAATTGACGTCTTCTACACATGGTGTAAGAAACATTTGTTAGAACTACATATTAAAAACAGCAATTCTATAGCGTTATTGGTGTAGAAAACAGTCCAAAGGTGCTATCAAGTCAGAGACTTAGGTGTTATCCTCGACTCCAAGTTATCTTTTGCTGATCACTATTATAACATTATCAACAAAGCAAGCAACATGCTCAGGTTCATTAAAAAAAAATTAGTTTGCACTTCAATGATCCTTACACAATCAAAACACTTTACGTAGCATATGGGAGGCCTCTTCTTGAATATTGTAGCATAGTTTAGGCTCCACATCATTAAACACATGTAAAACGGAATCAAATCAGTTCACACACCTTGTCGATATCTTAGAACACGGAATTTATTTTCAGAAACATCGTACAGAACAAACTTTGCAAAAAATAGCCCAATCAATCGAATGATGCACCTATATAATTTGCATTGCGGAACTATTGACATCACTATGTCCAAGCAGCAAATACAAACTAAGCTAAAACAGAATAGAATTAATGCATAGTATGTAAGTAAACATTGCAATAATCATTGTATGTAGTCTACACTGGCTGACGAAATGGAAATAAATAACTAAATTAAATTAAAAGCAGTTCTTGTTATTTGCTTGTAGAAAGTTAGATTGGATGAGTTTTCCGCTTCTATCTTATGAAACGCGTTGTATGCTAATTAATTTAGACGAGCTCAAAAAGCGAAGAGAGTTCACAATGATTACTTTTATAAACGATGTAATTTCTCAAAGAGTTAACAGCCCAGAGATTTAGGAAAATAGCAATGTTTATGCTTCCACTCGCTCACTGCGGAATAGAAATTTGTTTAGCATTAATAATTAAATTGAATTGATATCATATTGCGAATACGTTTACATAACGTACGCTTTCTTTACGAGGTTGGCTAGCCATCAATAATAAAATATAGCTGTTATGCAAGCACTGGGAAATTGTAACAACTATCGTTTAAGCAAGAATTGTAAAACAGTATACGCTGATTGACGACAAATAAATAAGAACACATCCCTAATAAAAATAATTATAAAAGTGAGTTTGACGACGTGTTCGGGGTATCATCCAAAACATTTGTGGGAAAGTTTACCCATCCGGGATACAGTTCGATTATGGTATTTGTTTATTAGGGATATGGACGAGAATAATCAGCACACGGAGAAGTTTCAATAAGTACTGACTATTTAATGTGAAAAACATGAGACGGATCGAAAAGTTGTGGATCACCTGTGATACCCTGATGGTTAATTATCTAACTTGTTTGTTGAAGGGGAACGGTGGTGATCAATTTTAGAAAAGTGGGTCATGGAACAAAAAATGTTGAAAACCACTAATCCTGGCGTCGATGATTGTCACTTATATCTTCTTCTTCTACTTTCCTTTATTTAACGTCGGTGTCTGTTCCGCAATCTAGTGCCAATCACGAACGGACATCGATTGCCATCCATTGACGGCAATCGAATGTGCAGGAAGGCAGCTTCCACACCTGCGTAGGATATCGCACCCATTCAAACACACATGGGCTGGGACCAACGGGTTTATTTCCCTTCCGAAGGAAGACGTGACCAGATATTTTTATGCCTCAGAAAAATCCCATCGACCTCGGCTGGGATTGAACCCAGACCCATTGGGGTAATAAATTGGGGTAAAACACGCTTACCACTACACCACCGGCGCCGGCTGTCAATTATGTGGCTGGTCCGATTTCGACGAAAATAGCTTTTAATTTCCCGCCGAAATTTTACGAGAAAAGCAATCCTAATTTTTCTCATATCAAACATTCATTCTCACGGCTCATGTTCAGAGTATAGTGACGCTGTATGGAAATTTTCCTGTTCCTGTCAGTAGAGCATCAACATCGGTCGGGTATGGACGTGAACAAAATTCACTCTTCCGTGTTGCGCGTAAAACATAGAGTGAGCCTTTGTAAATTGGAACAGCTGGAATGGGAAAAACCTACAAGGAAAATTACTTGCTTACAATGGAATTCCTGTGAACTGGATAAATTTCTAAAAAATCTGTTTTAATTTCAATTGTAACGGCGAAAGTATAGCGCAAAGTGAATTGAAAGCTGGTCAAATGAAAAAATCTTGTTGAAAAACTACTAGCTAGTCAATTTTGATCTTTTGGATTATTAGTATGTAATTTAGAAGAGAAAAAAAAAATGCAAAACTGGATACAATGTGAAATAACTGAAGAAAATGTTGGATTTCCATGTAGAAAAAGATTCCACGACCTCTCTTGAACTCGAAAAACAACCTTTGGCATCGGGAAGTATGTGAGAAAAATTACCTCATCGAAAATATAATACCAATTATCGATCCTTGAACAACTCAAGCGAGTTGGAGTTCAAGTGAAAAGGTGCTTCTGTCTGGATGTTTCGTTATGTTTAACAATAGGTGTTTATTGAGTCCTGTGTTGGAATGCGCTTAGCAGTGGAAAAACGCGAAAAAAGCGATTTGTGAAAATAATTAGATTGGTGTTGCTGCATCAAATAACAAATGAGGAATCTAATTACATATTGCCATTCATCCCTGTGCAGTTGTGGTAGTGGAGATGCATGCAGAATTTATTGCATGTAAAAATATGTCCTTAAATTATATATGTAGCTCAAAAATAGCAACGAAGAAAATTCTGCAATAATTATTTCCTGTGCTCTAGACAGAATGGAAGATTGGTGAATGTTGTCACTTTGTGGCGAAGTTTTCACAGTATACGTGATACGAGAAAAATGTCACTCCAAAAATGCACCAGTGTATAAGTAAATTGCCGCGTTCACTAGTGTCACTGAAGGTGTCTGAGGAAGAGCCGTGAAAATAAAGTCATGTGTAGAACGTAATATTTACAACGACAAACCACCATCTATACCATCCACCACCCAACGCCCACTGTTCCCAATTCGGCAAACTGCTAGCACAGAAAATCGCCAACAATCATCACAATTCACAGTGCCAAACTCAATTTAGATCAAACCAAAAAGGGTGGTTGAGAAATATTACAGGATCCAAGTGATAAAATAAGTGTTAGTCGTGCTTATGTTAATCCTATGGCTAACCCAACATACGTTAAGTCACCCTTATCATAATAGCATCAATTTTCGTCCACCCATTCGCCTCAAGAGACGCAGACAAGTATCAACTCATAGCTTCATCGAAGTCAATCGTATCAATCAACGTCATAGACAACAATCATTCATCTGTCGCATTCCGGAATCAAAAGCAGCATACAATGGACGGTAGTATTTCATTTAGTTTTTAACATTTCTGAACTCTATTGATTTGAGCTTTTGTCATGCCTATAAAAATGATTTATTTCTAATGCACAATGGTCCTGAATAAAAATTATATATGTTCCGCGGTCAAAATTCTACAATATTTATGCTTTGAAGCATAGACGACTTATAAAACAAAAATACTTAGATAAAAATCAAAACTATGTCTCAAAATTAAATAACACCTTTTCCTGCTGCGGACAGTTGATCGAATAAGTCGTTTTTACAGGAAAAGTTCTCTGCTATCGAATAGAATTGGTTTCATCTTTTGTTTTGGTTTGATGATTTTCGTCAAATAAAACCCTATTTTGTAAAAGTCTCGAAACTTTTCATCGTGATGATAAACATAAACCATGTGTGGTGTTCAATTTAAATACATATCAGGGATCAAATAATAATGCTTTGAAATTGCACATATCTGTGCATGTTCTGATCCATTCGATTCCTGGAGCTTTTTCCTGTACGAGTGACGAATTTGATCAAGTTCTTCGACAGTTATTGCATTTTGAGACGTTTTTATCGCCAGCGGCAAGGTTGCAAATACTCATTTTACATAATTCAGAATGGGGCTGTGTCATTTCTCCCAAGGTCATTTCACCGAAGGCCGTTTCAACGAAAGTCATTTAACCGAAGGTAATATCGGCAAAGGTCATTTCGCAAAATAGATCATTTTACCGAAACAAAATGTCACCGAATTTCAATTATGAACTCTTTTATTAAAATAAACTAACAACAACTAAGGGACCATGTACTTATTACGTTACATTTTTCTAGGGATTTTTCTATCCTAGGTATTCATCGTGTTATTCTTCATGATTTCGTAAGCTATTCCTAAGATTCCCTGCCTCCCTAATAAGACAACGTTGGATTTTTTTTAAATCTTGCGTTATAAGTACATGGTCCCTTAGTGGCTAACTTAGCTGAATCAAGAGGAAATGTCGACAACGAATAAATAACCAAGCGAAGTAAGGGTATTTCTTCGGGTATTTCTACATTCCACCCAAATAATAACTGCAGCCATGCAAAAAAAAAACCAACACTTTTCCAGAGAAGTCTGAATTAATGTTTCATCCACAAGGTCAGAAATGACATAAACAATAGAACTAGATAAAACTACTCATGTTTAAAAGAAGGAAAATTTCCTATCTAAATGGATGCAAAATTTAATCAAAAGAACGAGGATCAGCTTTATTAGCAAACTTTTAAATAAAACTTTTCAAAAGTGTTCACAAAACTAACGAATCTTTGAAGAACGCCTCATGTTTAAAAGAAAGCACAGTATCATGAATCAGTAAATGTTGATGAAAGAAATTTAAAGAAATGAACGAGCAGCTTCTAAAAAATGTAAATATTATTTACAACTTTCAAATACTAGTGAAAAAGTAATTACTAGCATTGAAAATTTCTAAATAACTGTTGATGTTTGAATGAAGAAAAAAAATCATAAAATCTTTCCATTTTGATGGAATACATTTTTATAAAAGAGCGTACAGCTTTCAAAAAAGGAAAAGTAATAGTTTCACACAGACAAATGCTGGGTTTCAGAATTACATACAAGAAAAGTACATTTAGGAGGAACTGCTCTTATTTAAAGAAGGGAAAACTTCCTACAGTTTTTGAATTTCATGAAGTAATTTTTTAAGAAAGAAATGCAGCTTCTAATAGAAGGAAAAACAATCTCATGAATCTTTTGAATCCTGGTTTTGTAGATTGTATAATGTTAATCACGGAAAAAAATATCTTTACAAGGAGGATTTTGAGTGGCTAAATATATTTCTTGGAATTGTCCACCGACTATATGACCCATTCCGCGAATATTTGATTTGGAGAATTGACCTTTGGCGAAATGTTTCACTCCTGTTTGACAAATAAAACCTGTCAATTTTGCTTCCTGAGGGTCGCAATCATCGATTTTTCAACCCTCTCACACTGCGATCATAAAATGCAACACTCAGGAAAAGAAATTTACAGATTTTATGTACCAAACACATACTTTGCAACCTCCTTCCGTAACAGGTTGGCTTGCGTCACTGAAGTTACTAAGCGATAAGTTAACGTTATTATTATTTTCCTGTCTTTTGAATGGACAACTTGCAAGGCTATGTTCATTAGATGCTTCATTGTTATGAATGGTGATATGCTCCAAGCGGTATTATTGTAATTTGTATTTGATACTGGACTGGATTCAGGGTTTGGAGCTTGTCATCATGAAAGGTGATATTTTTAAAAACAAAAATCCTGCATTAAATTAACCAGTTATTAACTAGTTGCGGAAATGTTTGGACTTTTTTTTATGTGTGACAATAGACCATACACTGAATGACGTGAAAAATGCTTACTCAATACCATGCGGGACCAAAATTCATTCAAATGAAAAAATAATTGAGATACGTTTACCCATAGTTGGATTATTGGTAAATCTACAGTACCGGACAAAAGTGTATAACCTCGTATTTTTTTTCAATAACCTTTAGCTTTTGAGGATATGCATCAATATTTTGACTACAAATGTGCAAAATTTCAGTTAATTAGGTTCTTTTTACTTCAAGAAATAACAGTGTGAAAAAGGGGCAGTCACATACAAAACGTTTAACTAGAATTGCTCAAACTTCATGTAGACTCATCTAATAACGCCTAATCTTGCATGGTTGGAATGGGAAAAAATCGGAATGTTATATATTTTTCTCCGGTACTGTATGTAGAAATATGGGCGGACTTAATTTCATGCTTTAATAGTGGAGTATTGGAGACGGTAGGATTTTGGGCGGTGTTGGGGATTACTAAGCTTCCCCTCTCTGATAAACCACTGCATGAGAGAACCAAAGATCTAGTCTAGCAGTGATAGTATCACACTTGTTACTCCTTTGTTTGAGAGCCGCGTTGTAGTACGCTTACGTATAGGCACTGACGTTGGGTGCGATACTGGCGGGTTTTGCCGCAAATCACTCTTATTTTATTTATGTTTACGCAGATAGATTTATTTGGGTTTGCAAGGGAATTATACTATTGAAATTTTCAGAAAGTGCCCAACAGTTCTCCTTCTACTTGCGTGACAAGCTTTCGTTGTTGTTTTCATTGAGGTTTTACTCAGGGAACAATGTTAAACACCATTTTTGTACATGGCATTGCAACTAATCTTATATGTGCTTCATTTTGATTTGGGATAAGTGTTTGAACTATGGCTCGAGATTTCCACTGTGGTGTGCTTCTATTGTGACATACCCATAGTGAAAGCGTGTGAGCGTAGTTGGAGCATATACCCTATACAATTTAAAAATCAGCTAGGAAACTAACTTCAAAGTGAAGTATTTTAGTCACTTGAAGGTGTCACTTGGGTCAAACTAAGATATAATACATATAGGTCAAAGTCGAAAGTACTTGAAACATTTACATTTGTTTAATTTTAAACAAACAAACAACATTTGTTTAATTTTAGATTACAAGCACAAGTGCAAGTACTTAATAAGGCATGTGTTATGATTGATTAGGTGAATTGGAGATTTCAATTATCTATTAAATTAGACTAATGAGATATCATAATCATCAAATGAACTTGAATAAGAAAATTCAGAAAGTCTAATAACATTAGGTGGATTACCAAAAGAATTAGGATGGGGGTCTGTTTAGGGAGGCAACTAACCTTCAAAGTTGTAGAATAAATATTCCTATTAAGAAAACCAATAGAATTAAGCAGATCTACAAGGAGAGAAATAGTTTAGGAAATAAGTAAAATTAGAGGTATTTGACAGTTAATAACTTTTAATCTTTTGTAGTTGTTGTTTTCCCCTGAGTTTATTGTATTTGATTACTATATTATTCTATCAATACGCGAAATCTCTGATATATGCGGTTAAAGCATTTGAGTTAACTTATTTCTTTTTGTTCAAGTACTTACATTTCTAAACAGCAGTCAATGTTAATCCCTACGTGAATCGATCTTTCCTTATGTGGTATTGATGCATGTTTAACTTTATGCGCCTGTCGGATTCAACGCGCTTACGTCTACGGAGTTTACGCAGAAGTGATTCGCAATTCGGTAAAGCTTTTCAAAAGTTTTTTTGAGCTTATGTAGTTCGGTACGGTCGCGAAATTTTGAAATACGTGCGGTAAAATAACGAATTTGAAACACAGCTCAATAGTAAAATAAGTAGAATATCTAGGGAGGAAACCGAAATTAATCAACTTGCCAACATAGGCTATCACATTTATTTTGGTGGCACTCTTTAAGTGATAGTAATGTGTAGTTTCTCTAAGGTTGTCTCGCGCGGTGTTCGCAATTTGCGCGATTTTCGTATCTTACGGAATTAAGATGTTTAGCTCTCTCACGTAATATAGGCTGTCTTGCAATGAGCACTTATACATAGGATTTCCAGTGAAAACTAGATGTATGAGTTTACGGTTTACTGATTCGAGGTTGTCCCTTAAGCGGTTTTGGTGCATGTCGAATTCAACGCGCCTACGTCTACGGAGCTAACGCAGAAGTGATACACAATTCGTCAAACGCTTTTGAGCTTATGTAGTATAGAATTGTCGCGAAATCTTGACATGATTGATACATCCGTTAAATTAACTAATTTGATACAAAGCTCAGTAGTGAATAAGTAGAATATCTAGGGAGGAAACCAAAATTAATCAACTTGCCAACATAGGCTATCACATTTATTTTGGACTCTTTAAATGATGTTCTTTTTTCTCTCGCTTTGGAATTCGCGCGCATTCAATATCTGTCAAAAAAAACATAATAAGACCACGACAGTAGAATTTAAGGCTTTTCTGCACCATTAGACCACTGATATATAGGTACTTACAATGTACATACCAAACATCGACTAGGTACTGATTATAATTGAAAAAAAACTCACGAAATGTTTTACTGTCTAGAGCAAGACCCAAACCCATAATTTACCACAATATGCCTTTCACACTGATATCACTAACCGTACGATTACAGTTCATAGAGAGCCGCGTTGTCTGCAACATCTCGTATTTTAATTCAAAAAGAAATGTGAATTGCCCACACAAACGTATCCATAGAAAACAATACCCACTTCAATCACTGCTACCGTCAGGATACAGAGCAGAAGAGAAACCAATAATAACAGAACACATGTTGCTGACAAAGCAATCAGAAAACCATGACAACGGTGACGATCACTGTGATGTCGGTGATGAGTGAGTGATGCATTGTCTTACATGGCGTGGGTGTTCGTCTATGTTGTATGAAGCCGAATTGGTCAACCGAGATGCTATATTCAACAGCTGGTTGCTTGCAATAGCAAATTGCTAATATTTTCTATTAAACATTAGAAATATCGAATTACTTTTTTGGCATTTTGATATGATGCACCCTCTAAGGATGTGATCAACTTGAACCAATTAGCATCATGGAGATTATCACGTAATATAGGCTGTCTTGCAATGAGCACTCATACATAGGATTTACAGTGAAAACTAGATGTACGAGTGCTCATTGCAAGACAGCGTATATTACGTGATATACGCTGTAATGTTAACGGGGTATTAAACAGAGTTCCTATGTTTTTTTTAACTTATTGGATGGGATTTTAGTTTCCGTTTGTCATGGTTTATTTCATCATAACATATCGATGAATAATTCAATTTTTGGTTTTAAATTTTGTGTCGAATCGGTAGGCAAGCAAGTAAAAAGTAACTGATTTTCCATTTTATATTTTTCCCTAAAAGCTTATAAACATATTTTATAGAACGCTCAATCGACAAACTTTAAGTTGCACTAGTCGTAGAGTACAGCTATCAATAAAATTTTGTTTTAAAATTAAATCCTGATTTTTTGGTGCTGCAGCAGAACGTAGCGTGACCAACAGGTTAATGTAAAGATAGAACGGTATGAAAATATTTGAAAAAAGATAAGCATTGAATCTGAGGTAAACTATTTTGAAAAAAAAAATCTTTTTCATTCTAGTTTGGGAGTCGAAGAGTTCAAGTTATTTATTTATTTATTTTGATTTTCTCATATGGGTTGCTGGTTTAACTTTGCTTTTCATGTAACTTTGAGTATGTTATTTATAAAAAAACCAATAAGGGGCTGTCCAGTTGAGAGGCGCTTAAAAATGTGGGGTTTTATGTGAAAATCGCCTGAAACTCCGACTTGCACTATTCTGCCCAGGTTGAAACTAGTTTCATTTGATTCCTGAGTTATTTAATGTTGCTACATTTTTACGTTTTTCATTTGCGTGACTTCTAAACCTTCATAAATCTTTACCATTTTTGCACAGGCTCATATTTTAAGGCTAGGATTCAAACTGAAAGGCGGTTTATTAGATGGCAAGTACTTTTTTTTAATGAAGCACATCTTCCCTTTGAATCTAGCAGCGGCTTAGCTTAGCCTCACTTTTTACCTGTGCACCAGCTTTGAACACCGTTTATTCTCTGATCGGGACATAAAACGTGCCCTTAGTTTAGAACATGTCATATTACTCCATAACTATAGAAAAATTATAAAGTGTTCCGTGTTGACACAGTAGTCATTCTTGCCATTATGGAAAGGAACTAATTCGAATTGTTAGTTCCAGCTATTTATACCCTTCGGAGAGTGGATGCACCCCCAAATGCGTGACCCTTTGTCAATCAAAATTGGATTCTTTTGGGAAAAAAAAAACAATGGAGCTGATATTGCCCATTCATCAGAACCCTAGTCTTAAGCATTCCAAACTAGAGAACAACGGATGTAGATTAGAAATCGGCAACTATGGAAACCTTATGTTACATCAATTAAATGCTCTTTAAACCTTGGAAAACACGCTTTTACTGATCAGCTACTCAGATTTACTGTCCTGCCCTTTTTTAGTCAAAGGAGCGAAGCTACAGGCAGGCGTCTAGAATGAGCATCGAAAATAAGCTTCTTTTAGAATCTTATTAGGACGCTTCTTTTGAAAGCTTCTTTTAAAACATCTTCTCAATAGGAATCACATGGAAAACTATCGCGTTTTCTCCGCGGTGGTCAACCCAAATCTCGTTACTTTTTTTTTAAATTTTATTTTTGAGATTTTTAGTCGTACACAGCAAAACAATAATTTTTAAATCACATCAAAGTGGATGCACTTCAATCGTGTCAAAAATGTGGTGTAATATTACTTGCCAAAAAGGACACAATTATTATTAATACAGTGCATGAACTGATATTACGCTGCTTTTACTGCATTTGTTTATTTTTGTGGCCATAAAAATTACATGAAATTTTCGACATGAATGAAGTGAATCCTTTTGGATGTAATATTAAAATTTATTTTTTGCTGTGTAGGCTAGTTCATCTCGTCAGTCTTGTAACTATCAATTGGGCATAAAACGTAGCAAGGACTGTGTTCCATTGATTACTAAAAATTCAACACCTTATCTAATGAAGTAATGAAATTGGGTTGTTAGCGGAATGCTTTAATAAAACAGCAAAATAGGGTTATCTTCCATTTAATTCCACTTAATTAATTTTGGTATCCATGACAGATACGTATTTCGACTACAATGTGCAGTCTTCATCAGTGCCATTCCCACTAAAGAACTTATCAAAATCTAACCCCCTTAAGTACTCATCCCCTAGGTATAATAGAAGATAACCCTATTTTGCTGTTTTATTAAAGCATTCCGCTAACAACCCAATTTCATTACTTCATTATGATGGCTACCAAGCCTTTGGGATTTTCCTTATTAGAGAGTTGAATAGATTTTTCTCCTTTAGCTTACTTAAATCTTTGGTTTTAATTAGTTAGGTAGGTTCCGATTCAACACATTGTAGTTTCATTTATATACCTGTGATCTTGACTTTTATACCTAGGGGATGAGTACTTAAGGGGGTTAGATTTTGATAAGTTCTTTAGTGGGAATGGCACTGATGAAGACTGCACATTGTAGTCGAAATACGTATCTGTCATGGATACCAAAATTAATTAAGTGGAATTAAATGGAAGATAACCCTATTTTGCTGTTTTACCTTATCTAATGCTATTTGATTGGTAGCAAAACAGATATAATATGCTTCTTCAGATGAGATGTATCAATTTCTAGTAATATTTTGAAATTTGTATTCCTTTTGAGAGTTGGTGCACAAGAATATTGAGGTTAATGCGACACCACTGGAACCCAATATTGCAATCCGAACTATGAGCAAACATATCGACCAAAGCATTGTAAAGCACAGCACATGCAATTGAAAAGTTTGAACCGCAGGAAAGCTGTCTGGAAACAGAAAAGATGAGTCATATCTCGAAACGAAACACGTTCTATGCTGTCCGTATCCCATTTCTCTATGTGGCTCTTATTTATTTTGCTCTAGCACAGAGGAACACATGGAAGGTCGATAGACTGATTCCATTACGGCAGACATCCGGGAGACACAACAGAACACTATAACCATCGTTTTTCTTCTTGTTGTTTCAAATTTGAACTCACAAAACCATAATCGAAAAATATTCTCTGGATGTCTACAAATGTTTTTTGTAGGCCATGCGATAATAAGGAGAACATTGTGCATACAAACCATTTCTGATCCGGTAATTACATCAACATGATGGGACCACCCGATAGTTTAAATAGTTAGTAAAGACGCGGCATACCATACCGGAGACGTCTACGCTGGTTATAATAAAACTTGTATAAACATTTCATTCTGAGTTCAACTGAAAATGTATTATTGTCTTTTTCTTTTTGCATTTAAGTCTAAATTATGTTTTCGTATGTAGCATCGATATCATTTAAAGCTTGCAATAACTGAATATCATTATGATTGGGAAAAACAAATCAAACTGCCATTCAATCCATAATTCATCATTACTGCACCATATGCATATCATCTGTACTTTGCTATTGAGTTACACGAAAGATTGAATTATCTTCGGCAGCATTGACGCTTACGGAATGATTTTAAATTTTCGCGAATAAATAGGCACATAGGTGAAAAATAACGATTCCAATGGAAGCAAATCCTCTACAGCACCAGCACGAACATAAACATTGCTGCTTTGGTGAAAAATCATAACGGTATGATTTACGATGTGATGATGAAAAGTTGCTCCACAACTGAGAGCTTCAGTGACCACATCCAAATTATCACAACCTACCCAGCTCAATTGATAGTAGGATCACGTATCGGTATCAGTTGGATTTCGAAGTTCTCCCATCATCTTCCAGTAACTTTTGGAAGCGGTTGCTGTTTTCGGCAGATTCAACGCACTATAAACAACGGCAGTGACTTTCGATTCTCCTGACATGAGTTCACTGTTTAGCACACTTAAAAATCTTGCTGTAGGTGGAAATACTAGCAGCAACGGAAACGACACTAATACACCTGCTACACTTCACTGCTATCAAGGTTGGTTCCGTAATTATTTTTATGAATAGGTAGGTTGTCATTCGGTATGAAAATTTAACACCGGATATCAGACATGAAAGCTAAAAATAATATTAAAATGACAGCTAAACAAAACATGTTGTTATGATCAGCATGCGGACAAGCTGAAACACATTGAATGTTCTATTCACGATTGATTCTATTTTATTTTATGATGTTCTTGTTACGATATTTGCATAACATTTTTAAAATATCTTCTTGTTTGCCTCTTGGCCTATCATTCTTGTATTGAAACTTATACTTGCGTGCAACTTAGTTAGTTAGTTAGTTATCTTTATTAAGGACACTTTCAACCAAACGCTGGTTCATCTCCGGTTCAACTTAGTGTTTTTAGCACTTCAACAATGGTTTACAGTGCTGTTTGCGGTGAACTATTTTAACAAATTAAGTATATCTTAACTTTTAATTTTTTCTTATTCTAAGTCCACAAAGTTAGTACAAATGTAATATTTTTTTCTTAAAAAAAACGATTCCACGTTGTTTTCCAAAAGGTTAATACTCCCATAAACCTGACATTACTTGAAAGCAACTAATTCCCCTTATCTTAATTTCTGAACCATTTTTCAGACGACCGTAACTCAATCTGAGGTAGGTTTAAAAAACAAACAAACAAACTACCGTTTGTCAGAAAGCATGCAGACCCAATCTTTTTTGACATAGAACTACGTCTTTGCCGACTATACTGGGGTACAAATAAAAAAATATGTGTGGTGAAGTAGTGTTAGGTTTTGAACGCTTGTAACTTTGTCATTTAAAGATGAAATTAAAATCCAAATACGCCAATCGATAGAATATTACTTAAAAAATCTGCTGAAATAAATTATTTTCCAATTTTTAATCAAAAAACTTTTTTAAAATGGGCAAATGATAATTTTATCACTGTTTTCATGAACTAAACGTTTTCCCCAAACCCAGTCATCATAAACGAATACCACTTGGTTGCACATCATTCTGCTTGAACCTGAAAAGATATAAAACAGTATCTAATTTGGATATGCAAAATATCCCTCTCCCCTTACCCCCGTCTATAACGTCAGCTCAAAAAAGACATGAATTTGACGATATTTTTTTTGGGAAATAAATTTTAAACAAACTACAATTATAAGTAAAAATAAAAGTAAAAAAATTCAAAACAATTGCTTCCGATCCGATGATATTATGTTGGTAAATCACCAACAACTGACCGTAAACATATCTGGTACCTCTATATATGCAATTGGATTAACATCCAAAGTCCATCCTTTTTTCCATATTCTGCACAAAAGAAACGTTCTGCTCCGCCTCATTCATAATAATAAATATAGTAGTCAAAAATGCGTGACAAACATCAATTTTGCGTGGTTTTACGTCATACTGCGGTCGTGTCTAGGACACAACCCTTTAATTTTTTTAATCCTTGTCGAGTATTTTCATCACTGCGACCATTTTACTAATCCATTGTGATATATTTCCCTTTTTTAGCTATATCAAGATGCCGTATCACTGTTATTAGGGATAATCGCCATTTTTTGACTAATAGCATTATCCCCGCAAGGCATTACACTTCGAATAAAGTGCACTGCCGTACTGGGAGTTGTTCTCCAAATGTGAAAGGGTTCTATCAGCCCCTTGTTGAAGATCTTACGCCTTTTATTGATAATTGTCGGACAGTGGCATAGCAAATGTTCCGAGTCTTCCTTTTCTATGACACAGAAGCGACATACATCATCTTGAAGTTTTCCAATCAGCTTCAAGTGATAACTGCTCGGACAATGACCTGTTATAAGATCTGTGTATATACTAAGATCTTTTTAAGAAAGTTCCAGTACTTTGTGAGTCACAGAAATGTTTGGATTGACGAATCACTTCGACTGCCTAGCAATAAGTGTTCTTCCAGTTTTCCTCCACTTTTGAAGATTTCCACGCTTTTTGCTCCATTCTAAAAGATGCAGCCCATAAGCCACAAAAGGGCTCTGGCCCTATGAACTTATGATAAGATCCGAGTCTTGCTAGTGCATCAGCTCATTCATTTCCATCAATCCCGCAATGACCAGGAACCCAATATAAGTTGACTTGATTATGACAAGAAAATTTTTGAAGTGATTGAACACACTACCAGACAAGTTTTGATGTACATGTTGCCGACCCTTGACTGTCGGACATTATGCATATATTTGAACTCTTATAGTTTCTACGCAAACATATAATAGAACACTCTAAAATTGGTTGGATTTCAGCTTGGAACACAGTTAGCCATCTACCCATAGGAACCGATATGTCTATCCCTGGGCCAGCTACTCCTGCTCCCACTTGATTGTTCAATCTTGAACCATCTGTCTAAAAAACAATCGGACCGCCAAATTGCCATGAATTACGCCCAGGGTCAAATACTTGAAAAAGGCGATTGAAATTGTATCTTTTCTCCATCAGTCTTCGTTGTTCCTTACTAGAGAGTTGATACTAACAGTTTTTTTTTTAATCCTAAGATGTCCTCTATGGTCTCCTTAAAAGAGTTTCGTTGACCTTGTAATCCCTAGAACACACTTTTCGGCTTCTAATTGTACAAATTGATGCAATGGTAGCATATAAATGGAGTACTTCTCATTGCACCTGTTATTGAGAGAGTTGCTAACCTTTGCAGTTTTTCTAACTTTCCCTGAGCAACACTCTCTTTTGTTTTTGGTCACCAGACCAATGCACCATAAGTAACCCTGGGTTTCACAATTGCCGAGTAAATGTCATGGATCATTTTTGGTTTCAGTCCCCACTGTTTACCGAATGTTCTTTTGTATAACCATAGAGCAATCTTGATACCCAATCCAGGTTGGAACTGAATAAAAATAAACTCGCTCTTAGTGTTCTAGATTCGCTTTCACAGTCATTAAATGAGAGCTTTCTATGCCGACCGATCCATGAATTGGTATATATTGTATGGCAAGCACAATACCACCAGTCGGGGTGATCATGGGCCAAAAATTGATTTTTTCATATTATTGCAAATATCTTGAATATACAGAAACTGGTGACTAAAATTTAAAAAGTTCTCAAAATGACATGTTTCTTTAAATCCTGGAGCATAGCGTTAATAATATTATCGAGTTTTTTTTTACTTAAAATGTTTTGTAAAGTTAAGTGTCATAAATACTAGAAAAAAAGTTGTAAAAAAATGATCTCTATAAACCTACTCAAATAACACAATTTTATCTGGATTACGAATTACATGATGATCCGGCTTGGTAATATCGTGCTTTTACTGCCTAGTCTATCTGAGCTCCACAAAATTTGCAATGATAAAATTTTAACTCCTTGTTTGCTGCACTACAGCAAACATGGAGCTCCAGATTCACTTTTGTTTGTTTTGCAGATACTTACATGTGTGCTCTTGAAATTTGAGGCTTTCTTAGAGATTCGCCTTAAGAGTTGGATTTGTCACAGCCGAAACAAAATAGGTGTCACCTCCAGGTTAAGTTACCACACATTTTTTTTTTCATGCTGTTATAAAAACCATTGATTACAAGACTTTTAAAACCTCGCCAATTAAATCATTAACTATGCTTTACACTAGTATGTATGTCAAAGCCAGAGCCAATCGAGCAGCGCCTATCTTGATTGCATTGGCAGTGTTCCTAGAAATAACTTAGGCATAGGTTGCCAAAGCAGTTTGTTTTGAATCAGCTTCTCTCTTATACTAGACCCTCTCTACTTACTGTCCCCAAATGACCAGATACACTTAAATTATTGTGATTACGTTCATATTTTGAGAGCGGGTGAAATTTAGAGTCGGTGTTTGATTTTTTTCTATTAAACCGCATTAACGAGATTTTTAGCCAAAGGTGTTTGAGAGTGAAGCAAAATTTACCTATCAAACAGTGATGCCACATTTTCCATCTGTATTTTGAGCTCAACCCATATTTTTTTTTATTTTTCTAAAAAAAAATCCAAACAACTGTATAAACCTGCAGATCTATGTAAATCTATTTTTTTTTTTCAAATTTCTGTATCGAAATTTGTCAATGAATCTGTATCATTAGAGAAAAATATGTGTATGTGACATCGCTGCTGTAAAAACCAACTACCTACACACTTAGAAAACAAAATTTACACGTTACGGAATTCAACATTGACGTAAAAGTTGAAACTTAAACAAACATATCATGTAACATGAAGGGAAATGCAAAACTGACTGTTTGGATTACCCTAGACTGAGAAAACCATATACAATTAAATGCTCCGTGACCAAGTAATTCATTTGATATATCGGAGACGAGCCAGCCACCGGCTGAAAGTCTCCTTAATAAAGATATAAAAAAAAATTCATTTGATCGAACTGGATTTCCCATATTTATGTCTCAATTTTACGTCATGAGTGACGTTCGTATATGTCAGCCTCAGAGCGTCGAAATGTATCTGAATTTTTCATAGTGTGTATCGTGAAAAGTAAATAAACATTATTGTGTTAAGAATGCTCAGCGTAACGTATTACAAGAAAATAATAATTAAGAAAGTGTGTTCGTAGCACACTGTACACCCTAACTACTTAACATAAAACTAATTTAACTACACAGCAAAAAAATAATTTTGATATCACGTCAAAGTGGATGCACTACAATCATGTCGAAAATATGGTGTAATATTACTTGCTAAAAAGGACAAAATTATCATTAATACAATGCATTTACTGCATTTGTTTATTTATGTGGTCATAAAAATTACATGAAATTTTCGACATGATTGTATTGGTCCTCCAAGAGCATATTCTAGGTTTGGTGGCCGTATACGGTCTAAACAGCGTCAACTTCGTGCGGCGGTGATTTTTATTCGACTGGAGCGTCCTCCGGAGTCCAAAGTAGGCACGATTCCCAGCTATAAAGCGTCTTTGAATTTCTCTGCTGGTATCATTTTCGGCGGTGACCAGTGAGCCGTAATACACGAACTCATCGACCACCCCGATTTCGTCACCGTCAATCTGAACTCGGGGTGGGAGGCTAACATTGTCTTCCCCTAGAACCTCTTCCTTTCATGTATTTTGTTTTTGATGCGTTGATGGCAACTCCAATCCGCCTTCTGATCACACCTTCTAACGCGATGTTGAATAGCAGACATGAAAGTCCATCACCTTGCCTTAACCCCCTTCGAGATTCAAAGGGACTCGAGAGTGTCCCCGATACTCGAACAACGCACATCACTCGATCCATCGTGTCGTGTCGTATGCGGATTTGAAATTGATGAACAAAGGATGTGTGGGCATGTTTTATTCGCGGCATTTCTGCAGAACCTGCCGTGGTAGCGCGGGCACCCATGAATTCCGCCTGGTATTGCCCAACGAACTCTCTTGCAAATGGTGACAGGCGGCGGCATAGAATTAGGGAGAGTACCTTGTAGGCGGCGCTCAGCAGTGTGATCGCGCGCTAGTTGCAGCAATCCAACTTGTCGCCCTTTTTGTAGATTGTGCATACGACACCTTTCATCCACTCCTCCGGTAATATCTCCTCCTCCCAAATTGGTATTTGATCTACACCAGTTGCTTTGTTGTTTTTCAGCCGACCGATCTCCTCCTCAACTACTTGAAGATCAGGGACCAGAAGCATGTCGTCTTCTGCGCGTGCCCCAAGGTTTGTTGCCGTGCCACCTTCGTTTTCTGCTGCATCACCGTTGAGGTGCTCGTCATAGTACTCCTTCCACCTCTCAATCACCTCACACTCGTTCGTGAGAAGATTACCGTGCAAGTCCTTGTACATATCGGCTTGCAGTACGCAGCCTTTGCGCGAACTATTTAGCTTCTCGTAGAACTTCCGTGTGTCGTTTTCGCGGTACAGATTTCAACGACGTTGGTGTGATTATGATCATTATGATTTGACGATTTCTAAGAATGATTTAAAAATAGGATTAAGAATAGGTAGAGTAGTATGTACGATTAAATCGAAGACGAAACAATAAATAAACATATATAGATCTACTGCCAGATCATCAGCTTCCAGACGAATTTGTCGGCGAAAACGAACTTCACTTACCGGGGACATATCCTAGTGCCGTGACTTTTTTTCGCAAATTTTAGCGTTTTCCCGATAAGAGGAGATAACCACGTCGTATTTTCAACGATGTCGGCAACATAAATTGTCTTCTCCTGTCTTCCATGTGGCATAACCTGTTTAAATCAGTACGAATCGTTATAAAATTTACAGCAGGAGCTCTTTCATAATTAACTGTTGTCAATACATTCCATAACCGACCACTAGGGGTGCTACAGTACAATAAGTTCTGTGTTCAAATTATTCCTATCCTTTTCTATTTATGGGCGAAAATTGAAATTTAGTTCCAAACCTGCAAACTGTATGTCTAATTTATGAATCATACCTACGTATATTTTTATTTATTTAAGCAAATTGTGTCAAACTTTTCTATTTAAATGGATCCAGAATAAATTATTCCTAACAATATCATGTTGCATGTGCTGAGGCTGACAAGCAAGTACTTTGTTATCCATCAATAGGGTCAAGAAATAAAATAAAAGTCTGCATCTTACAAACATGACAAGCAATCAGTAATCTTAAAATTATTTCGAACTTTCCCATCTTTAATCTAGTAACTGAATCCGATGAAATACCCCTAAGTATCTCACCTCCACCACCACCTCCTCCATCAACATCAACATCTGATCATAATCTAAAGAAGATGGGAATCCCGGATACTCAATCCGACTTCAACCAGTGGCTTCACGCAATGAAAATGGTGGCACGCTTACCTGGTGGTATGCCACCTGAGTTTCGTCGTAAGGTATTTTTCGCCAATGGAAAGATGGTCTCAGTAATATTACTTTAAATATCATTTTGTAGCTATGGTTGGCGTTGTCGGACAGATACCTTCAATCTAAGGGAATCAATTGGAATGAGGAAGGAGAGAAGTATTTGACTGATCAATGGGACGAAGACGATGAGGAGCTAGGAATTCAAATTGTGAAGGTAACTTAAGATGTTCGTGAATTGTGAGCACCGAGCTTTACTTTATATTTATCACCAGGATCTTCACCGTACGGGATCCAGTTTATGTTCTGGGCCTTCAGGTACTATCAACCAGGCCAAGCTGAAACGGGTTTTGCTTGGATATTCCAGGTTCAACCCCGAAGTAGGGTACTGTCAAGGATTCAATATGCTCGGCGCACTCATACTGCAGGTTATGGACAAAAATGAAGCAGATTCCATCAAAGTGATGATTTTGCTAATAGAAGGTTTGCTTCCGCCGGGATATTTTTGTGGTTCATTAGGAGGGCTGCAAGCTGACATGGCGGTATTTCGAGACCTATTAGGTACCCGTTTACCTAAGCTAGCCCGGCACCTGCAGAAATTACAAGGACCAGAAGGAGCTTTCGAGCCACCATTAACGAATGTATTTACAATGCAATGGTTCCTTACGTTGTTTTGCACTTGCCTACCCAGCAATTCGGTGCTGCGCATCTGGGATCTTATTCTGATAGAAGGCAGTGATGTGCTGCTACGCACGGCGTTAGCGATTTGGGGCCTGCTAGAAGGGTACTTTGTGTAATTTATTATCCATACTTAATCTAAACTATACTCTTATTCTACAGCCGAATCATAGTCACGAAGACAGCTGACGATTTCTACTGCAAAATGGGAGCATTATCAACGGAACTAGTGAATGGCAATTTAATCGACTGCAACGGCCTAATACAGCGAATTGTAGATATAGGTCCAATACAAGATTTACATAAGTTAAGGGAAAAGCATGTACATAACATCAGTCAACTAAAGGACTCGTCCAATCTCAGGTGAAAAATATAATATAAAAGTTGTAGCTGAGCTGAAGTACAAAGATTAGTATTATTTTTGTATCTTTTAGGATATTCTACTCGGATGACGAAGGTGAATCTGATGAGGATTCTCGTTTGGCTGTTACTGCGACTGCTTGGGGCCTACGTTCCGGCAGGAGAGCATCTCTTGGTATACCAACAAACTTGAAAGGGCCAAATGAAGGGAGGGAAAAGATTAACCTCGATATATCGCTTTTGAAAAAGCAATACGATAAGCTAAGAGAACGACAACGACAGGCACATATCATCTTATCAGCGGCCGTGGCTAGACAACCAACCTCAGGTCCACAGAACAGCAATTCGCTACAGGTCAATCAGCTTTTGGTAGGTAAAAGTGCCATACTCAGCAATAAAGGAAAACGACTCGGACCACCACAAGGGGCAGTGCCTCCTTTACGACCGCAGAAGGCTAGCAAGTCTTCCAAATCAGGCGCCCCAAAGTCTCCGAAACCAACCGAAACACTGCACTGGAAAGATATGGACGAAAAACAGCGAAGAGGTAGCTTGAAGTGGAAGGATACCAAGAAGGAAAACAAAAAGCCAGTTGCAAAAGATGATTTGGAAGTTGTGAAACCGTAAGTAAAACATAATTGACAATTTTTTTATGTCATGCACAAACTTTGCCACCTATTCTTGCTTCTTACAAATAAAAATTACCATTATAGCACAGACAAACAAACGTAACACTTCATTGTGTATCTTCGTTCACGAATTTAACGGTTGATTTGAATATTATCAGTTCCGCGAACTACTCGCCGCAGCGCTGGCATCGGATCATTTTGACGTTTCTATACATTCTATAGAACTTTTCTGCAATATTGTTTGCGAATTAGCGAGCACTCTTGTTTTCCGCGAGAAGCCAGAGAGATGCCGTTACTGAGGTCTTATGTTTTGACATACTATGTTTTCAAGAAAAACTTGTTCAAAGTGTTACGTCTGTTTGTCTGTGATTATAGTATCTCATAGTTTCATAATTACGAAAAATAGCATTTTAGCTGTAATGATCAATTGCAAGCTTGATCCTCGGTCCACCCAACCCGAGGACTTATTAGCAAGCGAGGGGTACAACTTTATCTATGATGCAGGATATATTTTGTTTTGGTGTGGTTAGCTGCGCGCACGCTGAGTAGACAGAAAGAAGATTGATGTTGATTCTGACAATTTTCTGTACGATGCAAGTAGATACGAGAATTGTAAGAATTTTTTTCGTAGATTGATTGGCTAGTATGAGATTTTTCGAGCATCTAGAATTGAGATTTAGATGTGACGCCTCCTCGTTAGCAAGGATTCGTTTGGTTACTGAAAAAGCCTGTTTCCCTAGTTTGAAGTAGTCAGTACTAGGAATCGATGGCAAATCTTTAAATCCAGTAGCATACCACGAAAACTTAATATTTATGCCCGTAAAATATGTGAGGGTTAGAAGGAAAGGGGTGTAAGTGACTTTGATCGAATAGGGCAAAAAATCTAGGCCACTATGTCATAGTGCAATATGCAGCACTGGTGTTCTGAATAAACATTTCGAACGTTTTTTGATTTTCAAATGAAAGAAAGATTCATGTATTTCGTAGAAGACACACACAGTTTTATCATTTTTTAGAAAATTATTCATTTGTTGCGAATAATTAAACTGGTTCACAGTTATAGGCTTACAATAAAACAAAATTCTCAAAATTATTTTATGGCAGTAACGAACGCATGTTTTATGCAAAAAGGACAAACACCGAATTGCTGGTCACTCAGTAAGATTCTGCTCGTTTCCGAGGAAACGCATTTGGCACAGATAGGCTTAGCCAGAAAATGATGCAAAGATATGAGGCCGTAACAACCAAACAGCGTCTTCTGGTACAATGTTTCATAATGCATTTCAAAATTTCATGTAGCATAATGAATTCTACAAGAACTTGTAACTTGTAAATCAATGTCTTTCAAATGAGAATGACAAGTTCAAGTCCTTGTAGTTACATATTGCCACCTGCCCCAGGGTTGCCAAATTTGAAGACTTCTGGAATTCTGTGAAAATAGTTTTACCCAAGTTAAATATGTTGCTAAGCTCTCTTAATGCTTAAGATTTCATAGATTTCATATATGGACTTTTTCAAACATACGGGAAGAACCTCAACATTTTGTACGAATATTCCTGAACATCTGGGTAGGTCCCAGAAATTAAATGAAATTCCAGGAAGGTCTGAAAAGTAGGATTTCTGCAAAACTGATACGAAGTTCTTTGAAGCCCTAAGAAGTTATCTGAACTATTCCAAAAATACTTGAACTTTTATGAAGTTCACTAAGCATCTGATTAGTATGATGAACCTTTACGAAGCTTCCTGCACTTTTTTGATGTTTTATGAAGTTTCTCGAACTGTGCTACTAGAATTTGCGTTGAATTTCTATCCCGAAGTTCCATGAAGCAATACATTTAAATGTAACGAAATGCCCCGAACTTAAAAATATCTTTGAACATTTGGGAGGTTTTGTGAAATTCTGCCAATTTAGAATTTTAGTTAATTTCTTTTATTATAGAGACTTTCAGCATTGGGTTGGTTCTCCTCTTAGAAGGTTTTTAAATTAAATTTAATGTTTTAACGATAGCTCAGTTGATGAGATTTCTTTAAAAAAATACCGATACCGGTAGAAATTGTTAGAATATAGAGGATAAATCATTAGATGCATTGCGAACGGCCATCGTTGACTTCAATTCAATGGAGCATGTAGACGGAAGTGTCAGTTTAGTGTGGATTTTAATTAATCACATAGTTCGATTTGAAGTATATTTCTACCAGAGTTTTTAAGATAATGAGGTAATAAATTATTGCGACTTAATGGATAAAATCAAAGAAATATTCGAAACTATGATTTAAATTCTGTATTTGTTCTGTTTGAAGAGATAATAATATGAGAATCTAAAATTTAAATTACATTGAGTCAGAATTGAGAATAAACCTAAAACCGGCGATCCATTAGCTAAGTCACGAGAAATTTCATTTTCATTTTCATTTTATGATGTACAAGGGGGTCAGGGGCCATGTCACCGATGTGAATATTCACACCGTCCATAATACACCATAGAAGGGGAGAGGAGTGAGCAACACAGCCACCCCTATTCTGGTATTTCGTTTCGAACGAAATTCTCATGTAAAAAATATTTTTTTTTGTATGAGAATTTCGTTCGAATCGAGCATCTTTATCCATGGGGGTTAAAAAAAAGTTCTGCGAGGTAACTTGTGGTGAACCAGCTGCTCAGATTGTAGAAAGGGAAAGGTTTAGGTAGGTTTTGTGTGAAATTGCCTCGTTTTGTTTGCGCATCATTGATTACATCACACCGCCAATGAAAGAGAAATTAAAAGAGATTGAAAGAGATTAGGGTAGAGCGCTACTTCGTCGTAATCGCCCATTTCCGTTCTATCGATCAGAAAAGATCAATAATATCAATGATTTCACCGTGCACAAATCAATAATAGGTTTGTTCCGATGCTTTAGTTCATTAGCTACAACATAAATCCTGTTAAAGCGCATTGTATGAATATTTATGATCATTGTTCTCAAAACAAAAGAAGCGTTCCTAGCGAATCCCCTTTTTCTACGTTTATCCGTAGGACGAAGAAAATCAAATGGCGTTTCAATGCGTTAGGACGGAATTGAAACTCGTAGAACGAATTTAGAATCAAGAAGCAGTATTAGATTTTGAACAATATCTCTACAATTTGTGACTCTTTATCAAATCCAACGGTACGTATGGAAAGGTGGATAAATTTAGAAGTCATCTTTGACAGAAATATTCCATTTTTGGTTTAAATTCGTTCAGAAAAGAGAGGTAAAGCACGGGTTGTCCTTAGTAACACGGAAATTAGATCAAAAACCCTATTAGTTATTTTAATTATTTAGTTATTAGAATTAAATTTATAAAATTGTGACTTCAAGTCATTATAATTAATAGTTATTATTCTGTAGTGTGTTATACTGATTTACATCCTTCATCTCTTCATTCACTATTCATACGCCAACGAATCCTTGGAAGATTTCGTCCTCCCCATCAGTAAACCTTCGAATTCGCTTATATGGAAATCATTTTCGCTGTCTGTATCCGAAAAGGAATCGTCATCTTCGTATTCTGATTGGATCATTTCATGAAATAGTCACTTGGTAACATCTTCGAATTTTCCTCTATCGTTACCAATGTCCTTCCAATACTCCAACAAGTGCCCACTACGAGCAACGTCTTGTTTGGCGCTTGTCTTCCATGGTCTTCCGACCTTCTTTTTTCCTGCGACCTTGTAGCTTAGTGCTTCTTATCACATGGCCCATGAAATTCAGTTGGGCGATGCGAATTATGTTAATTATTGTGTATCCTCCTAGCTCGCGAACAGCAAAATATTGGCAGGGATTCTCTTCTTCGTTATTCCGATTCTCGATCGATTGTCGTCTCTCATTCGTTCATCAGCGTTCCTCTCTACCTGATCTGAAGTACTAAGCGATTTGAGAGCGGTAAGCATGGTGTTTTCCATGCGCCTTAAGGAGTTTCGGTTTCGCTTCCGTAATGTCGCTACCTCCATGCTGTAACTCACCACTGAAGTAATCAGCACGTGGTATAGTTTATTCGTAGTGCTCCATCTTAACGGATGATCCCTAAGAAAGCTGCATAGGCAGTGGAACGCCTTGTACACCTTCTTGTTGCGCTCGATTGTGTTTTTTTTCCTCGTAAGGCTCCTGGTGATATATGCCCCTAGGTATCGCATCTTGGTTGTCACTGTTAATGTGTACTTTCCGAACTGACGCTGCAAATCTGGGGCCCGATTATCACTATCTTGATGAAATCTGACAATTACCCTTGACTTGGCCTGATTTATTTCCAGTCCTATAGCTAGGAGAGGTTCCAGCAGTTCGATAATCTTCTCAATATCTTCAGTTGAGTCGCAAATAAACAGTAGGTCATCCACGTACGCCAGTATAAACGGGAACGCAATTCGTCCTATCTCGTCCACGTTCAGGTCCGGTAGGAATTCTTTCAACGTGGATAGAACATGATGCAGTATAATAATGAGTAATACTGGGCTGATTGGGCATCCTTGTTTTATTCCTCGGTTTTTCCTCATTGACGGAGTACGGTTTCCAAACCTGAATGGAAGTAAGCTTATTGATACAGGCTTTTATGATTCGATTTATCAGCGCATCCGATACATTCATGGATTTCAGAATCGTGAGAAGTTTTGAGATGTCAATCCTGTCAAAAACTTGTCGAAGATCCAGTAATACCAAGATGGTTGGGTTTCCCTTACGCCATCTTTCGTCGAGAATCCTGAGTAGAACGAAGATTTTTTCGCAAGCGCTGCGCTTCTGCTGGAATGCCATCTGGTATTGTGGCAATGGCTGGTGCTGCTGTTCCAGTCTGCTAAGTAAAATTCTCGCGTATAACTTATATGCCACCGAGCAAAGTGTGATGCATCGGTAATCACTGAGCGTTGTGAATTTTGGGAATCGGGATTTGCAGAGTATTCATCCACTCTTTAGGAACATCATTAATTCCGTCTATTATCATTATCGTTGGTTGTTTCAACCAAGAATTGTTGAACTTTTTCGT